TCAACCTCGCCCAACGACGGCAAGGTCTCGCCGACCTCGCCGTTGCCGGGCGAGGCCTCGCCCGGCGACGGCAGGGTCGAGCTCGCCACGGCCGGGAAAGGTCGAGCTCGCCATGGCCGGGCGAGGTCAAGCTCGCCATAGCCGAGCGAGGTCGAGCTCTCCTAGCAACGGCGAGGCCTCGCCCAGATCTGACGAGGCCTCGCCCAGATCTGGCAAGACCTCGCCATCGCTAGGCAAGTTCGACCTCGCCCTGGCCATGGCGAGGTCGAACTCGCCGACCTTAGCCTCTTGCTTGTCACCGGTCGCCGAACCGACGACCAGGGAATAAGATAAGGGAAAAATACAAAGAAAGAGAAAAATAAAAAATTCAAAATAAAAAATTATTAAAATAATGCCACGTCAGCCGACTGACGCCGGCCGGCGTCCACGTCATTGCCGGCCGGCCAAAAGTGGCCGGATAGACTGAATTGGCATAATTACAAAAAGTTTAGGACTGAATTGGCACAATTGCAAAAGGTTATGACTTTTTTGGTAATTTTCCCCAAATATCAATGGTCCAGCCCATTGATCAATCCCATCAAAATCACACAACAATGATTCATTCCATTAGCCAATCTCATGCTCAAATATCTCATCATGATCATGCATAACACCCCGTGACAAGGTGACCATATTATCCACCTTGGCAAGGTCTCCACCTATATTGCCGGTGGTTGGCCCACAACAGTATCCTAAACTAGTATGTATACCCATAAATTCCTCAATGGGTTCACAAAGACATTGAGCACCAATGCCAACCGACAACAACATCCTCCACAATCTACAAAACCAAATCTAGAATTAACATCACAAATCGATTTACAAAACAAATTAAGTATACAATCTTTCTTAACTCAACTCATCCACCAAAATACCTTTTGCAATTCATTTCTTAAACACTTCTTAAACATTTCAAATAACAAATAGAGTAGCAAATGCTTGATCCGAAGTTATGCATAAAAAACGCCATAAACATCACTTTTCCTCTTCAAAGAAATATCAAACATGTGATCCCTCTTTAACTCATAATATATCTTTATCCATCTTTAACTCATAATATATCTTTCTATCACTTCAAGATATGAGTTTTATAAAACTAGAGATAAGCACCACTCACCTAGAATGCCCAAAAAACCAAACAACGTGTAGCTACACTAGCCGACGATCTCGTAATCTAACAATTAAACGATAATTGATGTCAACACAAAGTAAAACACTACATCAACTATGAAAAAGCTATACTAAGCTTAAACGCTAACAAAATGACTCTTACGTGACAACAAATTGCTCACTCGAAGCGATTATTCAAATCTAAACGCAATGTAGAACTCGCACGTAAAACCCTAAAATTCGCACTCCAACCAAACCGTTACTCTAAAACGAATTTTGTCAAACCCCACGGTTCCACAACGCTACAATCCACCAATTCTATGAAATCCCAAAACTCAACAACTCAAAAATCGGACTTAGCGGCTCAAATTTCACAAAACTTTGAAGTGAAGCCCTAATTTCGAAAACTTATCCGATTGGACAAACAAAGGATGCAAGCAATTAGCCGGCTGTTGCGATTCGTAATGAATCCATCTCGGTAAGGCGTCCGTAGCGTGCACGCGCAAAAGCCATTTCCTTTCTGTCTTCTTCTCTTCTCTTTCTTTTCCCTTCTCGCGGGCGTGTCTCTCGGCCTCTTCTTTTCCTTCTAGGTTGGGCTGACCGTTCATTCTTCTCTTTCTTTTGTTTTTTCTTGCTGGTCCCAACTTTTGACAAGTCAAAATATTACAGGGCATAGATGTTTCGATGGTGGCTGTGACCGTCAGTGAGTGCTAGTTGGAAAGAGATGCAAGTTGGAACTGAAAATTGCCATTCTTTTTTCAATAGAGCCTCTTCATATGTCCCTTTTGATCTTCTGGGGCAATTAATTTACCCCAATTGGCGAATCTTGTTATTGTTTGTCGCAGTTTCTACCTTCTAGTTTTCATTCTTAAGCAGTTCATTCCACCGGACGAGAAAAGCCGGAGCAATCGTGTTTCTTTACTTGGTCAAATGGGGAAATCTTTTTTCCCTCCTTCATTTTTCCCTCTCTGCCGTCTTCTTTTTCCCTCTCTGCCGTCCATTGCAGCAGACGTCGCACGACCGCCACTGTCACGAGCCTTCACCGTCGTGCCTCCATCCGCAGACACTATTGACCCGTATGCCCACTCGCCTCTCCCTCCTTCATTTTTCCCTCTCTGGTCTTCTTTTTCCCTCTCTGCCGTCCATTGCAGCAGACGTTGCACGACCGCCACTGTCACGAGCCTTCACCGTCGTGCCTCCATCCGCAGACACTATTGACCCGTATGCCCACTCGCCTCTCTCTCTCTCTCTCTCTCTCTCAATTCAGGCCATGGAGGCCGCCCGCCGTGTGTGACTCCAAATCTATAGTCGCACGAGGCTAACAACCTTGGCCGTGATGTTGGGTCGCATCTTCGTCACTTGGCTGATTTTTAGAACGACGGGTCCTTGTGACCTTCCCCAATCAGCTGCAGTAGATGTCGCGCCCCTCCCACGACCCCAAATTGTAATCGTGCGAGGTTGACGACCTCCATGGCCACGACGGTGTGCTAATTTTTTGGTGTTAGTTAGAACTTTAAGATGCGATTTGCTATTTAGAGGTTGGCCCAGAGCAAGTCGCGACCAAGATCGAGACTAAAGGAGGTCATTGGACAGGAAGATCGCGGACCGCCACTGTCGTCAACGGTGCTGGTCCGCCGTTGGTTCATTACCAGCACGTCTTGCACAAGCATATTTAGTTTTTCCAACTTCTATTTTTATTTGCTAAAAAAATTTCAAATCTATCTTTTGAAATAATAGGTGATAGTGGAATCCCACAATTTTGAAGGGATGCTAATGCTATTCCATGAGGAATCTAAATTAGAGTTTTTGTTTCTTTTCAAACTTAAAAATCAAGGAATTGGAATCCTATTTCTTGAATAATCCAATTCAACAACACCCCAAACAAGGGCTAAACGCGAGTTTTATATGAAGAAACGGGAAATAACATGGAAATTCGAATGTATTCTTATTCTTTTATTTAGTTCCAACAATTGAATCGAGCTAGAAATAACATTCTTTTTACTTGCTTCCAATAAAAAAATATAAGAGCTTGAATACCACTTGTAAATAATCCAAGGAACACGACAGGTATAGGAACTACCGAAGGTACTAAAGAAACAAGAACAACTACTACTAATCCATCGGCCAATATATTTCCGAAAAGTAAAAACTAAAGTGATGAAGGTTTTGTGAAGTCTCCAAAGATGTTAATGGGTAAAAGGATTGGAGTTGGTTGAAAGTATTTACTGAATAACTTAATTCTGTCTTGGTAAACCAGCACGGAAATATGCTACTAACACGAGTAAAGCTAAAGCAACGGTAGTATGACATGATGGAATAAATGGGTTCACGAACATGATCCAATTGATGTGTTTTTCTTACTAGGATTCTGCGGGTTTTTGGGAGAACCTAGCAGTGCAGCACACATTGGACTTTCGTGCTTCTTTGTCTCCTTATGGGGAAGGCTTCCTGGTTGTTATTGCAAGAATATTCCAACAACACTGGAGGGGCAGGTAGGGTTTTATCGTTTGTTATCGGCCTGTTGTTTATTAAATGTGGAGCATTTGTCAATGTCTATGTCATCAGAATCACTCATGCGAGGTTATATTTGACTATTACACTTAACGTCTTAGCTATATATGAGAGTACCTAAAATGTATATCTCTTTAACGAAGGTATAGCACATGAAGCAATCTTAAGAGAAATTGGGGGAAAATTGTCTAAAAAGTCTTAAATCTATTGCACTTTTGCCAATTCAGTCCTAAACTTTTTAATTGTGTCAATTGAGTTCTAAATATTTTCACGTTTTCCCAATTGAGTCCGTCCAGCTAGACGTGGACGTAGGAAGACTGGCGTTAATGTGGATAATTTTTATTAATATTTTAATATTTTTTCCAAATAATGAAAATTTAGAATGTTACACCACTAGTGAACTAATTTGGTTGCACAATTTACTTGCCTATCTCGGGGTATTGCATGACAAACCAATGAGTCTTTATTGCGACAACCAAACTGCCTTACACACCGTGGCTAACCCGGTATTTCATGAACAAACAAAGCAAATCGAGATTGATTGCCACTTTGTTCGCGAACTTGTACGGTAATGTGCCATTAGAACCGAGCACGTATCCACTAGACTTCAACCGGCAGACATTTTTACCAAGACATTAGGTCGAGATCGATTCAGATTTCTCATCAGCAAGTGGGGCATTCGTGACCTCCACGTGCCAACTTGTGAGGGGTATTACGAAAGATTTGCTAAAGACTTACAGTGATTTACATTCTGATTTTCTAATATTTTTGTGTATCTCTTATCATTAGTCAGGATTTAGTTTTAGTTAGCGTAATATTTGGTATTTCTTTTATAATTAGCTAGAGATGTTTTGTGTTTCTTTTCTCTTTCTTTTCAATACCTTGTACAGATATCTGTATTATACTATGAGCAATACAGCAAGCAAATTACGAATTCTCTCATTGGACAATACCCGATCTAAAATCTATTCACATATGTCATCTTTGCTGATTTTGTGGATTCGGCTGCACTCTTTTTTCATCTAATGTTCAGTGGCGCAAGAACGCGCGTGGATCTCATTTAAGAGAAATTTTTTATCTTCTGTTGAAGGCAAATGAGACGGTACTCCTTGACTAACGCGCAGCAAACCCGTTCCTTCACGTGCTGGACTTCCACAGGCTGCGCATAGGAAGAAGACAAATGAGACATTTCTATTTGACTACCACGCTGCTCAGTCTTCGATTCCCTTCACGTGCAGGACTGACACAACTTGAGCAGAGCATGCACATCACATAGAGAGTTTTTCTATAAAGAGAGACAATAGCTTGTATTGATCATCACCCTCCACCCTCGATTACCACCTTGTCTTCTCAGAGAAACAAGCGATGTGGATAATCGGAACGTGGGCATCGGCGTTGATCGTCGCGTGGCTAGTTCACTGGATTTACAGGTGGAGTAACCCCAAGTGCAACGGCGTTCTTCCTCCTGGTTCTTTGGGGCTTCCTCTCATTGGCGAGACCATTCAGTTGATGGTTCCTAGTTACTCTATGGACCTCAATCCATTCCTCAAGAAGAGAATACAAAGGTACTCATACCATCTCATTGGCCATTTCGCAATCAAGATGATGACTCTATTTTGTTATTCTTAAAGATAAGTAGAAATGCCCCTCTTGTTTGTTCTTTTGACTCAGGTATGGAAAGACATTTCGGACGAGCATGGTGGGTCGGGCAGTAGTAGTGTCGGCCGATCCAGAATTCCGCCAGTTTGTCGTCCAGCAAGACGGGAAGCTCTTTGAGTCGTGGCATCTAGATACGTTCGCAAAGATCTTCGCGCAAGAGAGCGAGGGCAGCACCAACGTCCCAAACGTCCACAAGTATGTCCGAAGCACGGTTCTAAAGCGCTTCGGCTTGGAGGGCCTTAGGGAGAAGTTGCTTCCCTTGATGGAAGAAGTGTCTCGATTGACCATAAAGAGTTGGTTAGGCCAAGAATCCGTCGACGCAAAATATGCCACCGGAACAGTAAAGACCAAATCCTTGTATCACAACACTCATGAATCGTTTTATCCTTTTTTTTCTACGAAGGGTGATAGACAAATCTAACACGCATTTGCTTTTAATGTTCTTGCAAGATGGCAATTGAATTTGGCGCAAAGCAACTGTTAAGTTATGATCCTACACAATCATCACAGGAGTTTTATGACCTGTTCTTTTCGTTTAGTCGGGGCCTTATGTCAATTCCTTTGAACATACCGGGTACAATACATTACAAATGCATGAAGGTAAAGTGCACCGATTTCTTTGTTAGAAGTTGATTTCCAGTATATGGAAAAAATTAGTATTAAGCTCAGATCTGCGCAGGACCATAAGAAGGCATTGTCAATCATTCGAGGAATCGTAAAAGAGCGGTTTTCTTCGTCGGAGACACCTCACAACGACTACCTTTCTCACACCATGGCTGATATGGGCAAAGAGAAATTCTTAAAAGAGGATTCCATAGTTCAGCTTATATTTACACTTCTTTGGGTCAGCTTCGATTCTCTTTCGACGACATTGACATTAGCTCTAATGTTCCTCGAAGAGAATCCCAAAGCATTGCAAGAAGTCACGGTATGCTTTTCTAACTACGCCCTAAATTGCATATAACGGAATTTCTTTGAACACTTTTAAGTGGGTTTTTACTCGTATTTTTCCAGGACGAGCATGAAGCCATAATAAAGCAAAGAGAATTTAAAGACTCCTCGATCACGTGGAAAGAATACAAATCGATGCCTTTAACTCTTCATGTACGCAATCTAACCAAATGGACAAATTCTTTAGCACTATCAACACATACTTCTAACGTTGGTATTGAAAAAACCAGGTAATACATGAATCACTAAGGTTGGGAAGCCTCGCACCTGGTATGTTGAGGAGGGCAAAAAGGGACGTAGAATGGAATGGTAGATCATTTCTATGATAGTCGATTCATGCGTTTTCAATTTGAGTCGAGAATGTCGATAAGTACTTTGATTACCAAATCATATTTAGAACATTGATGATAGTTAAATGTCTTTACAGGATACACAATTCCAGCAGGCTGGGGAGTTTGGCTATCTGCTACCGCTTTTCACTTTGATCCTGAGATATATAAAGATCCTACAGCATTCAACCCATGGCGCTGGAAGGTTGAATTCAACAAGAATTACGGTTTACATATAGGAAACCTAAAGTTTGGACAAATAAGCAAGATTAAACGAGTCGTATATAGGAACTTTTATGGTCGCAAGCGATTACGATATAGAATTCTTATATATGCCGTACTGTAATTGACTTGTTAAGGGCTTTCGAATTCCAGGACTGCGAATCAGATGCCCTACTCAAGAATTTCATGCCTTTTGGATCGGGAATGAAACAATGTGCCGGAGCGGACTACACGAGAGTTTTCCTGGCGACTTTTCTACACGTCTTGGTGACGAAATACAGGTACTTGTCTCCCCTTTTCGGACACCAACATCCTGGAAAAGATCATCTGTTCAATGGCCTAAAGCCGTGTGGTTCCTAACATTTTCTCTCTGTTGGAATATGATCAGATTTACAAAGGTCAAGAGAGGTCAAATTCGCCGAAGTCCAATTCTGGACATCGGGGAAGGCTTGCACATCAAGGTCATGGAAAAATAGAGATAAAACTGCTTCCACCCTTTCACGACATCTCAACTTTCTTGGTTGTAATGATATAGTTTCGATGTTTTCTTTCTCGGCAAACTTCACTGTTTTTATGGAAATTTAATCTTCATATGTCAACCAGATCTTTTGATTTGGTTTTGTTTTTTCCTGCTACGCTATCAAGACTGATGAGGCCGGTTTTTTTTTAAAATTTACAATGGGCTCACAAGTTTCTCGACCAAATCTTTGTCATGTTGACACCAGCCCCAAGATCTGGGCCTACACATAAACAAACCAATGGCCCGAAGCAAGCCATACCACTACACTTAGCCCGTAAAGTCCGCTCGATAAAATGCTTAAAGAAGCTCGTCGATCATAAAAGTCATAACCATACAATTGGCCCACAAAGCCCATCGATGGAATGTTCTGAATTGTTCATCAATCGTGAGTCTCCTATGGACAGAGGTTAAGTGGAGTAAACATGAAAGGAAGTTGAAGTCCGAATAAAAAAGGATTCATCAACCAATGGATGCCTGTAGCTAAAGGCACTGGGAGTGTTTATCTGAACACTCCCAGTGCCTGAACATCCCTAAGTCAAGAGGTAGTTGGAGATTATCGTGGAGAAAATTAGGATGCATGACGGAATGGCTTGTTGAAGATGCAGGAGGAATCAAAGTCTGTATACATACGTACGTACACGCACGCTCATATCTGAACATTTCTCAAGACGTTCAAAAGAAATGGAAGCCATTCGCACAATTATCTGAGTGCGCACACTCATATGCCGGAAGACTAGTTTATAATTAATGAAAATTACAAAAAAAGTCATAGATCTATTGCATTTGTGTCAATTCGGTCCTAAACCTTTCAATATGGGCCGGCGAGGGTCTCATTGGAGAGCTCGCCAGCCCTTGGTTGGAAAAAAAGAATAAGAAAAAAAGAAAGGAAAAAGGAAAACGAAAAAAGAAAACTAATAATAACAAAATTCAGAAAAATAAATTTTTTGCAAAAATTGTTCACGTCGGCATGGGCCGTGCCACGTAAGATGATCGGTGCTGACTAGACTATCACATAAGCAGTTTTTGGCCAAAATTGGCTGGAAGGCTAAATTGGCAAATCATCAAAAGATTTAAAACTAAATTGGTACAATTGAAAGATTTAGGTTTCGATTGGCAAATCGTCAAAAGGTTTAGGACTAAATTGGTTAAATTGAAAGATCTAGAATTGAATTGATACAAATGCAATAGGTTTAAGATTTTTTCGGTAATTTCTCTAACAAATGGATGTCACTCTGAACGGGTACCCAATGTGATGATGTGCACTTCATACTCTCCATCGATAGGAAGGCATAAGGGTATCGCTCCCTAGTGAGTAGGCAAGGGTTCGGGGAGGCTGCCCCGGCGAGGATCGCGGGGGCGACGGCCCCAAGCCATCAAAAGACTTTTATAGTTTTGACTCATATTTTATTTATAATTTGGGCTTTAACCCATGAATAGCTGCTGCCTATATATAATCTTTTTCTTTTGTAATTGAGAGTTGTAACAGAGAGGTGGGACGTGCTAATTATAGTGGAATCGTCTAATGGATATAGCCCTAATTTAAGGCTGAACCAGGATAAAATCTTGTGTCTTGATTTCTTTCTCGCCTTTATTTTTGATTTCGTTGGGTTTGTGCGCCTAATTCCAACAAAATGGTTATATGCAGTTAAGCAACCTACGGTTACAATGGCTCATATTTTCTAATTTCGAATTCATCAAATGCTGAAATTAATTTTAAATTCAACACTTGTAGAAAATAAATTCAATTTAAGCCCAAAATTCCCAACTGTCTACTCAAGATGAATAGCAGTATAGTCCATTTAATGCTCTTAGGTCCATTTGTGAGCCCACACACTAAAACAATGCTTATTGTAATGCATACACACATAAATTTATCTGTGTCTTACTTGTCAGTGTTGGAGTGGGACTTGTTCCCAAATGCATCTACGTTACAAACTACACTAGCGCTATAGGCCAAATTACTAATTTTTCGACTAGATCAATATCCACACCACCCATATTTGTGCTGTCGATCAGATTTAGCCTTTACATCTTACCTGATTCCCGCGATTAGTGAGACATTAAGGTCTCTGAGTTTAACTACTCGACATGGACTTCTTCATAAGAGAAATTTTGGAACTTCTTTTAAGTGTACACAGACAGCTTAAAAGTAAAATCTACTAAATGAGACACATGATAACTGATAATCACCATGAGTATCTTGCCTTTTCCTCACCATGCATTACGTGGGACTTGAATTCAAGACAAGTGAAAGTTGGAGAGAGCCTCAGATGAATCGGAGTTAGAACAAAATGGAGGAGGAATTGGTCAAAAGAAGCGAACAAAAGACAAGGAGGAGGACCCTGCTTTTCCCAGGAAAAGTTGGGAGAGAACATCTGGGAAGAATATTCTTCGCACAGATTCATCAGGGCCCTGTGCACCAATGACTTTTAACCCGTCAACTTGGCTGCCGAGAGCTTGAGCAATTTTCTCGGACTTTCCTAGAGGCAGACGAGGAAAGTGTTAGGTAAAGCATACGGGGGGGTGGTTGGCCTCTCCGAACTTGGCTTGAGCCAAGCACATGTCAGGCTTGACCATTAATATTGATAACCCTAGGAGGCCACAGAAGAGGGTGGAGGTAGGTCTTGTCGAAATTTTTATTATGGGGGCACTTTGAAGGGTCGCTTAGTTTGGTGGAACTTCGTTTCGATTTAATACTTCGGAGGCGAGGGCGTGGGCGGTTGTTGGTCTCTTTAACTTCATGAAAGGTTGTTGACAATCCCACTCATTTTTTTAAGAAATATTTTGATGTGCACACAGATACTTCAATTTGTACATACACATGACATCTTGGTGGTTTATAGAGCTCATGTCTTAATTCCATGTCCTCGCAACTGAATTCCAGTCTAAGAAATTTATACCATTACAAGAGGAGGAAAAGGAGAAGGCCCTCTTTTGGCAAAGTTGTTCTTCTCACCATTTTATGTATATACATACATACATATGCGCACTAAAAGGTTGTGCTGAATATTCATTTACTCGATGAAAAGATAAATGATTATTACTAAATAAAATGAATTCGCTCCGCTCAACTTGATCTATCTTGTCTAATTACGCCGCAGTATTTCGACGGTCTATTAGACACATGGAATGACATGAATAAGAAAAGGAACATTACATCGCCATGCTTAATGAATATTATTGTTTGCGCCTTCAGAAAAACTAGAATAATTTATGTGATCGTATATTTTCTCGCAACTTAGGGTTTTAAGGGCTGAGACATTTCTTTGACCGGAACATCCTCAGTTTATGAATTATGGTGCTCTAGGAGAAGGCCCGGAAATATGTGATTCACAAAATGCTCATCATAAATGGTTTCGTGTGTTTACTTTCTCTTATCAGCAAGTTCCAAAATAAATAAATCAACGCTTGATGCATGATAAGTCTCTTTGCATCTCATCATATTTGCTGTAGTCAAGTCCTCGCAATGTATATAAATATAAAGTCTTAGCTTTTTTTTTCTTTTTTTTTTGTCGGTCCTACTTTATCTCTCACTCACGATACACACTCAGACTTGCACCACACCTCTTGCAGGGCGTGGGCGTCGAAACCCACATCTTAAACTACGCGGCCCCACCCCTACCCCCTGCGAATGTGGGAATTCGAACCCCCACCTCCCCCTTCTCAAGTGAGAAGGGTGGCCACTGGGGTAAACCCCCAGTGGTCAAGTCTTAGCTATGTATAAGTCGACGGCTTTTCAAGCTTCATAAGGCACCATTAATATTCAAATTTTGATTAATTGAACCAATAGCAGCGTGGGGCATGACATGCATGTTCGAAGAGAAAGACATTGCGCCCAGTTATCTAAATTGTTCGATATGCCAAAAAAAAAACCAACCTTATTTCTTAAGGAAACCGTCGGCAATTACCGTCCCTGAAGTTCATAGTCTATAATTTAGATACTGTTCACATCACAAAATCAGTCATTTTCGATCTCCATTTTTCGGTCATCACACTCTTTAATCACTAATTATAATGTAAAACATTAATTTCCATCGAGAATTCGAAATGGGTTATTACCACGAAAAACCCCAAACTGGTACACCTGTGATAAATTTACCCGAAACTAATTTTTTTACCACCAAAAACTTAAAACTGGTACATCTGTGATAAATTTACCCTAAACTAATTTTTTTTATCACCAAAAACTCCAAATTAGTATATTTGTGACAAATTTACACTCCGTTAAATTGAATTAATGTCTCGAAAAATCACGAACTGATATACATGTGACAAAAGGAAGGTAAAAACCTAAATCAGTACACCCGTTAATTATCACGTGTCATCCAACTTAGAAATTTGACGGTATAATTTAATGAAAATTAGCGGAGGATAAAATTATCAATGATGTATCAATTTAGAATTTTTCATGAAATTAAAGCTATCTTTTATTTATTTTTTCCTCTCAATATAACATACGCAGGACCCACAGAAAAAACAGTCGTTGCCAAACCAAATGTCAAATGACTTGAAACCAGCTCGCAGAGAACGCAGACAAGGAGGAGGAGCAGCTGCGCATGATCACCCATTAGTGTTCGTCCCTCCATTTTCATATAAAAAGCCTCGCTTGCCAACTGTTGGGGAGAGAGAGAGAGAGAAGAAACATTGCAGAAAGAGAAGGAAAGAGAGCAACTTTGTCAATACCCTGTTTCGAGTTTGCGCATCTGAGACGTAAACGCCCATCAACAGGCAAAAGGGGTGGAGCGATTTCTCCCACGGGAGATGATGTAAAGGGGGAGTGCAGTTCGTCAATAGAGAAAAGCTGGACAGTTTTGGCTTTGGAGTTAACCCATCTCTCATCTCCTTCTCCGTCCCGTCCCCCGCTTCTCTCGGAATAAACTCAAGCCCAGCTGCGGAAATTTGCACTCTTTCCTGTCTCCCTCGGCGTCTCCGCTCGGCCTATAAAAGAAAGGTGCGATCTTGGGTGCTGATTCCATCGCAATCGAGCTGATCCTGCGCTTCCGCTTCCGTTCTTCTCGCATTTCGGCTTCCGGGTCGGCGGAGCTTTTCGGGTCTCTGCGGTTCTTCTTTGTTCGAGTAAGATTGATTTTTTCTAGAGTGG